GTTCACAATAATATAGTACCCCACTGTATTAACATTAAAGATCTTAGCAAGATTGTTAAAAAAATAAAAAAAATAAAAAATAAAATAACTATAAGAATATAGCAACTTAGTAAATCAAATAAGTTGTTAACCTCTTAAGTGATAGGTTATAAGTTCAAAATTCATTAATAGCAAAAATTTAGATAATTATCTATATAATACAGATAGTATTATGATAATAGCATTCTGTAAATCAGTTGGAATAAGATACCTGTAACTATGATTGCATCAGCATAATTAGCAGGTCATGAGACATTTGTGCAATATTGAAGTTATATAAAGAAATACAAATCATTATTAGATGATGCAAACTCAAAATAAGTTTTTGTGATCATATAAATTTATAAAACTGAAAAGTTAGAGCCCATTTAAGAAGATCCAAATAAAAAAATAGTATAGATCTTTAATAGTATTACTATAAAGACTAGATTTAAAAAATAAATATCAATATAAAAAAAATTAGGCATGCAAGAATTTCAGATAAGAAATATTACCAATTAGGTTACTAAAAGTCTTAAACTAGAGAAAAAAGATCTTAGAAGATAAAACTCTAGAATACTAAGATTAAATATAAATAGTTAGTTAGCAGAAAGACCTTTTGGAGCCCTATAGTTAGATGATATATTTTGAAATATAAATATACAAATAAGAAGATCAAAGTTAGATTAGATAGCATTTTGATATACAGAAACTTGTATACTATCTGTTTAATATAATTTAGAAGTTACTTTATACAAGTTATATAATCATAATTAAATTACAATAAAGGCAGTATTTGCTGATAATTAATAGCTTTAGCAAAAGCAAAAAATAAAATAACTGTTATAAAGTATAATCTTTAATTAATAATCTGTCAGTTATCTAAAAAATGATCTTAATATAACATAATGCAATCTTTTATATTTTTACTATAGACAAAAATGCAAAAAACATCTATTTAAAACTTTTTTTATATTAAGTTAACAGTTTAAATTAATTAATTAAAAGTTATAAAGCTTATTAAAATATATTTAATAATAGTTAGATCATTTAAATTAGTTTAGTAAATACTGAGATATTATTAAAAAATAATTAACTGATTATATAAAATTTTATATAAATAATTAAATTTTTTTTTTTTTTTTTAAATATTAATGATAAGGCCATGTCTCTATCTTTATTGAATATTTAATTGAGATTTTATATAAAGTACTAATTTACTTTTAAAATATTATAGAAAGAATAGAAGCTCAGACTAATTTATCTGCAATCTAAACCAACCAGAGTAGCCAAGACTCATCTAGATTTGAGTGTTAGTAATAATATATAGAGGATTAGTTTGATATTTGATTCATTGGATATATCAAAAATTAATTTTTGAACTAATTGAATTAGAAAAAAGAATGTATAATACAAAAGGTACAGAATTTAATAAAGGAATATAGTTTGGAAGTTGGGCTGTAGATCTTGAAATACAGTATAAGATCCAGATTTTGTGATAGATTTGTTAGTTAAGATGAAGTAAAAACTTTATAGAGAATGTAGTAGCTACTTTTTTAAAAGATAAATTTACAATAGTGTTGATGAGTTCATTTGGTATTAAGTCTGTTAGAGTTGAAAAAATTGATAGTACATCTGATCTATTATAAATAGTCATGCTATGAAGTAGTTTGATTTGGTGGTATAAGTTGGTTATATTATTAGATATAGAATCAAATGTATTTGAGTTGAAAGTATGTTGTAATGAGATATCAATAAGGTTAAATAATAGTTAGTTGAATGGACAAGTTGTCCAGTAAAGGTGTGAACTAATTATATAAATAATTATTTATATAAAAATTTTATATAGTTAATTAATTATTTTTTAATAATATTTCAGTATTTATAAAATTAATTTAGATGATTTAACTATTATTAGATATATCTTAATAAGCTTTGCAACTTTTAATTAATTGATTTAAACTATTAATTTAGTATAAAAAAGTTTTAAATAAGTGTTTTCTGCATTTTTGCTTATAGTAAAAAATATAAAAGATTTACATTATATTATATTAAGATTATTCATTAGATAACTAGCAGATTATCAACTAAATATAAATAAAAAAATTAAAAAAAACTATTAATTTAATTTCTGAATTTAAGTTTATAAATTTTTTATTATTATAAAATTCTTTTTATAAAATTTCAAGATAAATTTTTTTTTTCTTTTACTTGAGCAGTTTTGCTAGTTATCTTTATTATGTATTTTTATATTATATATATACAAATTAGTTTATAAATTTTGATCCAATATTCTGTAGATGCTTTTATAAATCCTTATAAGTGATCTGCCTGAACTGACTATCTAACTTCAAAAGAAATTAGAATATATCAAAGACTGTATCTGACTACTGCTTTACAATAGAATATTGTCAATCTAATAACATCTTCTTGTAGAGAAATGAACAAAAACAAAAAAAAACTTATATAAAAAAAAACACAAAAGTATAAGGGTAGATGATAAAAAATACAAATATAAGAAATAAAAAAGAGAAAGAAGTGAAGTAAAAAAAAAAAGATATATATAACTCTTGCCATATGACTATCAAATAATTACAATTATAAGTCTATATCAGGCTTTTAAAAATTATAAATTATACTAAATAGAAATAACTTTACTATTTTTCTATCTACTAGAATATTTAACAAAAATCATATAAGATAAAACTTTGACTTGAATATAGAAAGTTAGCATGAAGTACTAGTTAATTCAGAGACAGTATTTTATAAGGTTTTAGTAGTTTAAGACATATGGATAAGTCATGTTTGTATTGCTGTATTGTTTATACAATCCTGATTAGAAACTAAATACTGCTGACTGTTTTGATGTTTTATATATTAATCTTTTAAAGTGAATAAACTGAATTGCCTATTTTTTATAAAATTTTTCTTGAAAAAAAGAGAAGATATAAGATAAACCAAACTATAGTTTTTGTAAATACTTAATTCTTCTAGGAGTTTCTTATAAGTTTTACAATTATATAAAACTAATATATCTAATACTCTTGTTTACTTTATAAAAGACTTTCAGCTTTCATTAATCATTTCTTCTATGGTTTTAAAGCTTTTTTAAACTATTATCACAAAATGATAGCTTCTTTTTTAACTTTATTTTAATGTCTACTATGTATGTCTAATGCTTCAGAAAAGTTTTCATAAAGTTTAATATATTAATTATATCATTTTTCTGTAGTTCAACATTTTGGAAAGTTTGATCCAAATGATTATTAGAAAGAATTATCTAGTTATGTTTTTTTAAAAAATTTTAAGATAATTAAAAATAAATCTTAAATAATTTTGTTTATAAAATTGACTAATTTTTTTATGATTTTTATTATTTGTTTATAAGTGATGCAAATAATGTATATTATTTATTTAAAAATTATAAAATGCATCTATAATATTAAATATTATATAAAATTTTATTAATAAAATTTAAGATTAAAATGCAGTTTAAGAATAAAAAACAATTATTTAATATTATGTAAATTATATATAAGATTTTGATTTTAGTTCTTGTAAGGTTTTTATAAACTTTAAACATTTTACTTAGAATATCTAATTCTATTTATTTAGTATATTTTTAAAAAATATTTTTATATTACTTATTTTGAAATAAATAATGTATATTACTTACATTACTTATAAACAAATAATAAAAGTTATAAAACATTGGCCAATTTCATAAACAAAATTATTTAAAGATTTATTTTTAATTACCTTTGAAATTTCACAAAAAGAACCTTATAATGTTAAAGAATATATGTGCCAAAAAAGGAAAACCTGTAAATCATTTTACTTATTGAGTGAGATGATTTACAGGTTTTTCCTTTTCGTTACTCATATAGGCTTGGTGTGCAAAAAGGGAGTAAATTGACAAATTTTTAAAAATTAATTTTTTGTATAAATTATTTTAGAATAAGATTAGGATTATTTTTTACTTAAACTACAAAAGTAGTTATATTAAGAAAATTATGCAATATAACTTTTTAAAATTTGCATTTTTTATAATTAATTATAAAATTTAGAACATAAAAATTAATGTTTCGAAACTCTATTTTTTTGTCAATTTATCCATTTTTTGCAGCACCAAGCCTATATGAACTTATACCCGAAAATTAAACTAACAGCTTCTTTTTGATTAAATAATTTTAAAACCCAAATTTTATACAAAGTTTACTTATAAAATTTGGGTGCGTTAATCATTTGACCTCATTAAAAAACTTTATTTCATGATCTGTGTAATATATTTTTAGTCATTGAGTGTCGCTAAAAGAAAACCAGCACATCTAAAACATAATAAATCTACTTTTAGATGTGCTGGTTTTCTTTTAATTGTACCTATTTTTCAAATATAACCTTCATTAGTATTGTTTTTTTTTTTTTTTGGTATTAAGGTGCCTTCATTAGGATTGTAAAAGGTTTTTATAACTAGTTTACTGCAAAATTTGCTGTATCTCTAACCCTACTTACACTATCAATTTAACTACGATTTAGACTACAATTCAATATAATCTGATAGCTTAATTCTGTAATTTCCAGGCAAATTTGCCTGTAAGGAATAAGGCATAATCTACCAGCTAATCATGATCAATCTGATGATTTGGATCAACAACCAATCAAAACAAACCTTTACTATGCTATAAAAAACGCGAAAAATTGACACGTTTACTTATTTTTTTCGTTTTAAGATTTTAACCGTAAGTTTATTATTACCATTTTTTTTTTTAGAAATATGTGATGATCTGGATCAACAACCAATCAAAACAAACTTCTACTACGCTATAAAAAACGCGAAAAATTGACACTTGTTTTACTTATTTTTTTCGATTTTAAAACTTTAATCATTGTAAGTTATCATTACCGTTTTTTAGAAATATGTAAACTATGCTTATTAATAAATCAAATGATACATTTTTATCAATTCAGAGGAAAAACCTGAAATGGAACATTATGATCCAAAACTGGAAAGAACATTTAATACTCTTACCGTTCTTATTAAGTCCAAGAAGCGTTCTTCGGTAAATATTCTCGTAATTTATAAAACCATTCTTCGTTTAATAATATATTTTTTGGATAAATACAGGTAAACGAAGTTTATGTTGATATCCCTCCGCGAAAAAAAGTTCGTGGATTATACAAAAAGGAAATATCGGAAAGTGAAATTATTTATAGTGAACAAGAGTGTTTAGATGCATTGATGGTAACCTATATATTTTATAAGTGTTTTTTGGTTGATCTGCTCATTTTTTTATTCAAAAAAAAAATTCACCAGCCTGCAGATTCTGGTGATACGATGTCCGACAATGACTATGAAAAATTTTACCTCAACGATTTTATTTTTTATGATAGCGTGGAGAATGAGGTTTGTAAATCGTATAATTGCAGTTTATACCATAAATATCGTGTGATATCTAAATTAGCTATTTAAAGGTTGTGGATTTTTTTCCGGAAAGGAGTACTGAAAAAATTCTATTTTGGGATGGTGATATTGTTGATGATGACAAGAACATGGCGTGTAAAAGGGTGTGTATGAGCCTACAAATATTTTCTTGCTTATTTAATTAGTCCATATTAACGTTGAATTTTCTCATTTAGGCAATTTTCAAAACGTTTTCGATTAGCGGTTTCGGGTTGGAAGAATCAAATTTAGAGGTCATGATCCAATCAAGTCTTAATGACAAAGTGTGGTACGCACTTCGTACACCACAACCTATGTACCATGATATCTGGATTGCGTTTTTATGGAAAGCGCATTTGGTGAAATATGCGCTCGATTATATATATAATAATCCGGATGTCCTTTTTGAAGATTTTAGATTCGGATTTTTTGACTGGATAACCGAACATAGAAAAGATGATAGTATTTTTAAAAAATGGCTTAGTGAAGTGAACGGCAATACGGATTTCAGATCGGTTGTTGCAAATAACATACACTTAATTTGGCATGAAGCATACAATCTTGGCGAAGATTATTCGTGCTTGCCATTCTTTACAGGTAAGAAATTATTATGATTATTATTCTTCTTCTTTTATTATTATTATTATTATTATTATTATTATTGTGATTATTATTAACGTATACGTAACGATAATACAACCAGATGAATATTGTCCTGCAAAATATTCTCGCATTGAAAGTGTAAGTTAGTGTTACATAGGTATACTAATCACTTTTAATCAGTTCTAACCTATTGTTATTATATATTATAGCAAAATAAAATTGAAAAGACAGTTGTTACACCAAAAGTGTATAAATGGTTTCATGGCTTATTTCCGGAGTTACTACAACCTTTAGGTATTTGAGAACGATTTCATTCCTTGGTTGTGTGATTATATAGTCCTCATCTGTAATCAGAGGTGATTTTTTTATAAAGTACCGATCAGCGAAAGTGAGTGCATTCCGATTGTATATATTCAGAATGATGAGGAATTCAGAGAAATTAATTATAAGAGTCGATGGTTATTCGATAATCCGCTTGAAGAACCGCATTGTTTTGAACAAGTTACAGTTGATGGTATAACTCTTAAAGTAGGGGATGCGGTTGAAGTAGTTTCTATTGACGGATCTGCCGATGGTCGTTGGTTTTGGTATGTAATAGATGGCGCATAGTGATACGGATATTAAAAACTTATCGTTAAAAGCTTTATTATTATAGTATAATAACTACGTTCATAAAAAGAGGCAAAAGCGGATTGTTTCGATTACTGTGGCTATACACACGTCATCAAACTGTACTCAGAAAACTTGATAAGGATGTCAGTATTAACAAATCAAGAGAATTATTTTTCTCGTCCAATTGTGAGTGCCAGGAACCATGGCCTCTTGAAAACATAATTCGCAAGATTGATGTGCACTTTGGGAAGTCGTGTTGTCCAGGTTGTTCGAGCGTTTTAAAATTCATAATTTTAATTTACAATCATTTTTGTAACTCATTAATAATATTTTATTAGACCTCGATCACTCTTTTTTCTGTCGCTATCAATATTCTCATGAAACTGAAGATTCGTTCTTGTCTTTCCATCCAGGATTACTTCCCAAAAAGGATGGACTGATCTGCGGTTGTAAACGACCTGAAACTAATTATTATGAGGAATTTATTGAAAAGTATAAGATTAATGACTGTATTCTATTAATGCCGCTTAAAGGAGACATTTTGGATTTGTACACAGTTTGCTGTATTGAACGATTCGATTTAGATAGAAAATCTGTCTGGTTAAGACGATTTTACAGATGGAGCGAAACATCAGTAAAACGGCCAAAGTCACCAATAAACGAAATTTTATATTCTGAATACGTTTTCGAATTTAATACATTTCAACATGTAGTTAGTTCATGTCATGTTGAGTTTGTTAAATATGGCAAAAAAATACCAGTCAATCTTCAACATCGTGGTGCCGGAAATCATGTACGTTTAATTTTTTATTAATTTTCACAATACTAATTCTAACTTTATTGTATGATAGTTTTACTTTTCAAGGAAATATGATCGGATAACTAGAACAATTCATCCTATTAAATCAGAATCACAGCAACTTTCAGAAAATTTTCCCAGTTATTCTTTTAAGATAGGAAATACATATAAGTTGAAGTGTCTTGACTTATTTTGTGGAGGTGGTTCGTTGGGTCGTGGATTTGAAGATGCAGGCTTCACGCATTGTCAATGGTAAGTTTATATAAATTTCGCTTGTCTCGTGAATATTTAAATAAATGCATTTTACGAACTTTCAATTAAAATTTTTTCGAATATATATAGGGCTATTGATAAATATGAGGCCGCTATAAAGACTTATAGGCACAATCTTCAACACGACGACATTAACATATTGAATCAGAGTGTAAATAACATACTTTCTGATGCGATTTTAGGAGTTCCAAAAGCTCGGGTTCCACCTAAAGTGTGTTATTTACGATTTCTTATTGATATTATGCCTTACATTTTACTTATTCAAAGCAAACCTGCTTTTCGTAGGGTGATGTTGAAATAATACTTGCAGGTTCACCTTGTCAAGGGTATTCTTATATGAACAGGCAACAGCATAATATCAAAGCAAAAAGAAATAACTCTCTTGTTGCTTCTGTTGTTTCCTTTGTGGATTTATACCATCCGAGATACCTATTATTGGAAAATGTTCGGAGGATTACGTCATCGGATGGTAAATTTTTGATATATGTTCAATAAATAAAAGTTTTACAGGTCTAATACTTATATTATGATAGCATTTTATCGATTAATCGGATGTCTTCTTGAGATTGGATATCAAATCCGATTTGGTGTAGTATCAGCTGACAGAATGGGATGTGCCCAAAAACGTTATAGAATGTTCTTATGGGGAGCTGGTAAGTCATGTTATTTAGTACTCAAGAAATATCGCGTTTAATTTTTAATTAAATTTTTTTTTTAAACACTCAAAAGCTCATGGTGAGGTCTTACCAACGATGCCGCCAGTTACTCACAAGGGTCTAAATGACACATTTGAAACTCATGCAAGTTTTCCCATGGTTTCAATAAAGGATCACATAAGTGATCTTCCACCAATCGGTGAAGGAGAAATCTGGTACCCTTCATTTCCGGACCACAAGACTTATCAAATGAGTGTGAAAACCAAAGAAATTCTTCGAAGGATACCAACATTCCCACCAGCAAGAGATTATTATTACGCTCGGAAGCATAAATTTATATCTGACTTACATGCTGTACCGAGCTATGACGCTAAGTTGATAAAATTTCCTAAAGCCGCACAAAGCTATAGATATTGTCAACGGATTGACCCGAGTGGTTTATTTCCAACAATATGCACAGCAATGCGTAAGTAAATTCGTTGGAACCGGTTTTAATAATTCGGGTCTATCACATGAATTTTATTAAATTTTAATAAATTCTAAAATATCACAAAATTCATGTGATAAATCCGAATTATTACAACCTTTATTTGTGGCATCACAGGTTTTATAGTATTTATAATTCTTATTACTAAATCAAACTAGGCCCTAGTGGATATTATCCGGAAGTTGTTCATTATAAGGAGCCACGAATGGTTAGTGTTCGTGAGGCGGCTCGGGCACAAGGTAAGTCTATATTGCAATTTACATATATATATATTACATTTACTTTGTGTTAATATTTTTGCAGGTTTTTTAGACACTGATATTTTATGTGGAACAATCGGGGATCAATATAAAATTGTTGGTAAATTTTTAAATGGCTTATTTTAAAATGATACATTTGATTTTTAAATACAAAGTTATTGGTAAATTTCTAAACTGTACACGAAAATGATATATTGATTTTTTTTTTTTTTTTAGGCAATTCCGTTCCACGTAATGTTGCTTTTTCACTTGGGCTTGAGCTTGGACGTGCACTTTGTGATTCACAACATGAAAACGCAGCAAACACTTTTCAATATAATTGATTTCTTTTAGGCTTTTAATACGATTTCAATTTAAATACAACTTGTACATTGGATGATTTAAATGTTAGACTTTTATTAAAATATTATGTAATAGATAAAAGTTCATATTTGTACAAAGATGCATGTTTAATAAATTGTAGAATACTACAAATATTATGCAATATATGTTTATGAATTTTTTAAATTTGAAAATTAAATATTGGTATAATAGTATAGTATGAGATTAAAGTGTTTAAATAAGTACTTTTTTAGTAAATTGCAGATATGGCATTTAGTGTAAAACTTTTAGAAAAATTATTTAAATAGCAACTAAAAGTTGTATAAGTAGTTAGTTGTATGTTTTTTTTTAGTATTAAAATAATTTTTTAGGTTTTTTGATTTTATTAATATATTTTTAAATAATTTAGTTTTGTAAAGTAAAAGTGTACAATTGGTTACTTATATAACCTTTTTATATTTATTTAAAAAGTTTACTTAAAAGTTTTTTATCAATTGTTATATTTAATATTTTTGTTTGGATATTTTATTTTTAATTTTATTAAATTATTATTATTTTTTTTTTTTTTTTTTTTTTTTTTTTTGAATTAAAGTTCCTGTCTCTGGAAGTTGATGTTTTTATTCATGTATTTGG